CCGTGGGGGATTGGCCTGCCGCCCGCGATCATTACGAACCCTAGATTTGGTTATATTTCTATGGTTAGCTTAGGTCTATCAAGGACTAGCAAGCCTTGATTTCAGCCAGATGCTATGTAATTTTGGGTTGCCACAGCCATGCGGGTCAGGTCAAAACTGTAGTGGATTTTTTTGTTAGTGGGTAGCCAATAGGGGATTTGACAGCCTAATAAGACACCGGATAATTTTAAGGATTTCAGTGTGCAGGATTAGATTATGGTGTGGCTCGTACAGTTGATGCTGATGATTGGGTTGCACTCTGATTTTTGTTTTGTGATTTGGTGGTAGGTTGGGCGATGCTCTATGCAATGAAGCATTTGAAAAATAAGTACCAAGAGTGACTATGCATATATTACAAATTGCTATTCACCTATATTGATCATTTTAAACTCAGGTGTTGTTCTTTCACTGTATGCCTGCAGCCATGCACTTGTTTGATTAGTTAATGGGAGTTCAGTACCTCAAATTTCATTTTCTGGAAGTAAATAGCTGCAGAGTAGAAAAAATCCTCATGTGCTTACTAGTTAAATGCCTGCGCATTGCTACATGCTACGGGCTCGTTGCTATGAACAACGCCATCTTTGATATCCATAGATGCACCTGCATTGATCATTTATATATATATATTTTTTTAAAAGAAAAAATACACATGGACCATTGTATCGACCACAGAACAGATTCGAATAGATAATTACAACACTGAGCCCAATAGCAGCACGATGCAATTTCCTGTGTGAATAGAAATATTTTTTAGATTCATGACAACATTACGGGTAATACAAAAATTATTAGGCACCAACAGTTTGTATATAAGCATCCAGTACCTTAATTATGGTTTCAGGACCTTCTTATACGCAATTTTCCTAGTCTATATCCCACTCTGCTCTGAGTGTTTTTTTTTTGTCTTGTCTCGTTTTGAGCGCTTTTGTTTCTTCTTATCAAGAGCAACTGGTTACGACAGAAGGCATTTAATTTGCCGCCAATGAACAATCATGTCTTATATAAGACAGAAGGCGCTTAATTTCGTGCCGATGAACAATCTGTTTGTAGTTCCAAAGACATTAGCTGATGCAATTTTATTTGTTACCGCTTCCCAGTACCATGCTTTTTTTGCTGACTCCACAGCTGACAACTTATTTAGTTCTCTGACACCAAAATGTAGCAGCAAAAACTGGAAAATAAAGAGTTAATTGTAGATATGCATTTCGAACAGAGTGCATATACACTTCAGATAAGGTTAAATTTGCTTGAACAAACTAAATAAACGAGATATGAGTACACTTGTCCTTCTAGAAATCCAAATTAACCCTGCACATGTCTGTGACATTACCATTACATGCTACTGAGCTATTGTCCAGGTACACGAAATTATTTAAAACTCATGTTGGAATCATGACAGATAAACCAGCCATTCCTTTTCGTTGCAAATTATTCTGTAACTTAAGTAGCCATTCCTTTTCCTTGCAAATTACACAAAACTCATGTTGGCTAACTTATCAGATTCTGAAGAAGGTTTTCCTAGAGTCAGGAAAAGTAGGTTCTTCTGAATCAATTTTACTCACGGAAAGTCATCCCACAAGCTAAAGCAATTGATTAAATGAACCTGAGTATAGTACAATACATCATTTCTTTCATTTAACAGATTCCTTTGCTTGCAAACAAAATGGCATGCCAGAATTTACCGATTAATCGATCTTCAGATCATCATCATCATCTCATTGTCTCTCCAAAAGGTTACAGTTATAGCTGACAGGAGTGATGGCATCCTCTTTGATGGCGGCGAGGATGGCATGGGTGAGATAGCGCCGGATGACGTACAGGATGCCTCTGTACGACAATGGGGAACACAGCAACTTGTGTGTGTATCGATGCGGAGGATGAGGTAGAGAAGAGGATGGCGCACAAGCAGATTGGTCGGATGTAGTAAAGAGGAAATCGGAGCGAAGGGCGGCGTTGGGCTGTGGAGCAGAGGCGTGGGGTATGGAACACAGGCGGGCGGCGCTTGGTGCCACGGGTGTCGGCGGTATTTGGAGCGGAGGCATGGGTGTGGAGCACAGGTGGATGTGTAGCGGAGTCGTGGATAAATCAGTTGGGTGGGAGTGGGTCTGGGAGCCTAGCTGAGATGGCATTTAGGCCCGGCAAGCGGAACGGGAGAAGCGAGGATAGGAATTTTGCGTAACTTTTAAGTAGTAGAGATAGAGATTTGGCAAACTGGCTGCTCATTACATAATAGTTTTTTAGGCTTCCAAATTTCAATAGTCTCTTCCTGGTTCAGTTTGCCTTAACAGCTGATCACCAATTTGCGAAGAACTGCGATGCATTTAGAAATCATAAACTGCATACTAGATTAGGCATACTAAATGGCTAAATCACTACAATCTATTTGTTCCCTGTTATGCTTTTTCTCACAAGTATGCTGGAGCAGTGCATCTTATTAAGAAAGAGAAATTAGTTCCCAGTACAAGGCGTTCCTGGTTGGTTCTCTGTTACATTCAGAAGAGAAAAAAATGACCTGAAGCTGCCTATACAGATGCCCTAGACAACAACTCCTCTAGTGCCTTAGCCGCAGCCATGCCCAATAGCCAGGCTTCCTGTGAAATTTCTCTCAGAATCAATGCAATGCATGGGGTTCCCTGCTATGCTGGGTACTTATGCATTCTTTGCTGAAAAAACGTATGTCATTGTTATTCAGCAGAATGTGGATTTGAATGTGAGTGCCTGTTCTAACACATATAGCCTTTTTGTCATGATTTATCCTTTTTTTTTGGATGTAGTGTGGCTTGTACAGTTGATGATTACAATCTGACCATGTTCAGTGATTCTTTTGGTGTTGGGCAATGCTCTACATACTGAAGTGTTTGAAAAATAAGTGGCAATAATGATTATAGATATGTTAATGCATTACAGTTCATCTATATTGGTCAGTTTACACTCTGGTGCCATTCTTTCATTGTACGCTTGCAGCCATGCACTCGCCAAACTTGGCCTGTTCGCTTGAGCTTATCAGCCGGCTTATCAGCTAGAATCTACAGTATTTTTCTCTCACAACAAAACAGCTTTAGCCGGCTTATCAGCCGGCTTTAATAGTGGACTTTGATTCGTCCAGCTTCATTTTCTGGGAATAAATACCTGCAGAGTAGAAATAATCCTTGCATGGATATTATTTTGGCAAAACGGGGTACTAGTATGTAATATTCTTTAGGCTTCCGAATTTCCCTAGTGTCTTTATTTTGAATGGAAAAGGTTTGGTTTGCTTTTCTGTAGTAGCACAACAGCTGATCAACATGTTCTCAATTGCAGTGGTCACCAATTTGTGCAGAACTATGGTTAAGAAATCATGAACTGCATACTAGATTAGGCATCCTCAATCACTATTCTAAATGTTCCCTGTACATTATTTGCTGAAGAAATTTGATGTTATTTGTATTCAGCGTAATGGGGTTGTGATAGTTGATAGGCAGGATAAAACTGACTTAGATTTAAATAACCAATTTTAGAGTTTTCTCCCTACAAATACGAATTGGCAGATCTCTTGATGCGTCATGCATGAGATCATCCAATACTTGGGTAACAGGTTAGGTTGCTCGCTACACACTCCACTTGTTTATTACTTTGATTTTTTTTTTGTTATATTGTTGTTGGTATTCTAAGTCAGTCAGTATGTTAGTATTTAGTACCTTGGACTGTTTCTCATGGCTACCAACTTGTCCAAGCTGAAGTAAGCTACTCTGTAGATGCGTTGTAGAATAGATAATTCTTGATATGCATTGTTCTTCTCAAGGAATCAAGACTTACTTTATTCTGATGTGTTGTTTAACATGCATGTTGGCAGGAGAAATTCAATGACTATCTGTGCCGCGAAGGCGAGAGGCTTAGGCAGCAGGACAAAGCCGCGATGGGCCGAAGCTAGGGGGGAAGCATTAGCTTGTTCTATATCAACGGAGCAATAGCTTTTCAAATTAAGATTCCTGCCTCCCTATCAGAACAAGTCCCTGTCTAGGATGGAATCCCTCTACTTGCTTTCACTTTCCTGAGCAAAACTTGCTCGGTACAACAATAATAAATTGACTCTGGTTTGTGTTCTTTCTGCAACCTGCGCGGGCTGTATAAATCATTGAGAACAACGGGCTTTGGCCTTTTGGCCCCTGGTTTGTCGTGGGTTCAGTGCTTGTTTGGCATCAACTTGTGCGACATGATGATGTGCAACTTACTCTGAATAAGGCTATTGCATTTGGCGGGACTTCAGAAATATCTGCCTCCTTGGTCAATGTTTCATTTGACCGGACTTCACAAATTTCTCACTGCTTGCGCAATTTGGTGTTGTCGTACTCGTACCTTTGGCGCTTGGGGGCGGATTTTGCCAAATATTGGACCTACTGATGATCAATCCTGTTTAACTAGATTTATAAAAAAAATATTATTAACACCTCTATTCCCTAATATATTTATTTATTATGAAAATAAATTTTACTATTAATCTAATGATACTAGTATGAGATGAACCGGCCGGCTTGCTGCCGCGTCGGTGTTGCTTGCTACAGTGCTACTGGAGTAGTCGAACTCGAGTGATGTGCAGGAACTGACCAGTAATCCACTGCACGCGCAACCTGCAACTTGCACATGTGTCCCCGGTGCATGCACGGCATCAGCTGTGTCTTTGTCTGGCCGAACTGATAACCCAATTGCAACAAAGTCACAAAGCAGTGGGAGACGCGGCCGTCAGATTGTGCCAAAGCCTCGGCTGCCAGCCGACGCCCGCCGGAACGCGCAAGTTGCATGGCGAGGCGCGGCACACCCACCAGCCAGCCCGCTGATGCATGGAACCCATGGAGGACGCGTATAAAGCAGCCACACCATCTCCTTCTGCTCCGGCACCCCCGCCCCAGAGGCTGTAGCTGAACAAAGGGAGTATCTGTCTATCTATCTATCTATCACACAGCTGGGACGGACCGTACGTAGATATGGAGGCTAGGTACGTGAAGGTGGCGTCCCGGTTCTTCCTCGCCGTCGGCGAGGGGAACGCCGGCGGAGATGGGTGCGGCGACAACCGCCACTTCCTCGACGCATGCTTCCTGTGCAAGCGGGACATCGCCTCGGACCGCCACATCTTCATGTACAAGTACGTGTACGCATGATCGATGCGCTCGATCGTCGTCGTCTCTGTCGTCTCTGCACCTGCACGCACGGGATCATGCATGCCTGCATGTTAGTCTTTGGTCAGTCGATCCATCAGCTCGTGCTCGTGCTTCAATTCCGATCCGCATGCATGCAGGGGCGACGCGGCGTTCTGCAGCGACGACTGCAGGCAGGAGCAGAGGGACATGGACGCCGCGCTCAAGGCCGCCAGGCGCCGCCACCGCCTGCTGCGCCGCACCACCTCCTTGCCGGCGTCAACGTCGTCGTCGGCCTCCGCGTGCACCGCCAACAAGGCCGCCGCTACTGGGAGCCGGAATATCGCTGTGGGCGAGGGGTTTTTCTGACGGCGTGGCGGCAGGGACGGAGCTAGCTATAGCTCGGTCGCCGAGTCATGCTGGATCGGAGCTGGAGGAACGAAGATGCGGCGCGTCCCAGGGTCAGCTGTGTACATATTTTTGCCATCTTGGGTGGTTTTGGTTTTGTGCAGGCCACCTGCTGCGGTCCGTCAGAGAAGACGCATATGCATGGCGCATTGTGTGTGTACGTACATGTTGGATCGGGGACAGGTTTATGAGATTGGACTTGTGGCATGATGCTTTGCAAAGCGGACTAGCTAGCTAGCTAGATCTCCCTGAGAAAAAGTTGACAAGAGTAGATCAACCACCTCTTTTTTTCTCTACGTACATGTACTGTTTCTTGCTTCTCAACGCATGAACTGCAAGGATGGTCACGTAAGATGGACAGGTTTCAGGTCTGCACCCAATTTTTTTTTTCCGGTTTCAGCGATTACTGATCGCTAGGTAGTCCAATAGCAAGCCATGCACGTACTCGCTCGTTCCAGGTTGTTCTATTTTTTGGATCTTAAATCAAATTTATTTATCTTATTTTATAAAATTTATAGAAAAATACACCAACACATATATATAACATTAAATTAGTTTTGCTAAACCGAAATATGTCTTCATAATCAATATTGCATATGCAACTCTAACTCTCACGTCGACCTCGTGTGGCCGCCGTCGCCACCATGACTATTGATGGTGGCATCGTCAAAAGAAGATCGTGTGGCTCACGCCCTCCTTCGTTCGTGCATCCTTCCTCTCCCATCTCATTACCTATCTTTCCCTTGTTTGGAGTGTACTCCCTCTGTCCCACAAAGAAGTTCGTCGGAGAGTTCAAAATCTGTCCCGCAAAGAAAGTCGCTGTAGAGTTATACAGCGCTATGCCTAGCTACTGCCGTACTCCATGCCAGCAAGAGTCAGGCGCACCACCTGCCTTTGCCCCCTCCACAGTGGTGGGTTTTAAATAAAGGCTGTGTGTATTCGTTCTCATCTCGTGTTCGGCTGGTACGGTGTTGGATTGTTTCAACTTATTCTCTCACAAAATATTACGCAATTATCTAAAATCAGCTGAGCTACAGTGCTCCTATCTATCAGCCGGTTCTTTTCGTTTGCATGTATAACGGTAATGCAGACCATGTTCCATTTCCTTGGTACTCCCCCCAAGTCGTAGAACGACTTTCCATCTGGGGACGGAGGGAATACATGGATAAATTGGCTTGGTGGGCTAGATCCTTGTGCCTAGCAACATGAGGCCTGACCCTAAAAAGACCAACACTAGCAAAGCTCTGCCCTATGACCTCACCTCGGTGATGAGCGTGCCGTCCAGTCGCATCGTCACGTCCCTGGTGAAGGTGCTGCGCCATTGCCGGAATAGAGCAAGTCGTAGTAGGACTCATTGATGTTCGTTTTTTGCGCTTTGATATTCATTGAGGCGACAACCGCCGCCATTGCCGGAATAGAGCAAGTCGTAGTAGGACTCATTGATGTTCGTTTTTTGCGCTTTGATATTCATTGAGGCGACAACCGCCTTTTGCTGAGACGATCGGCTCTGTTCGCTTCTCTTATAATCCGTCTTTTTCAGTTTGTTTTTTCAGTTGGAACAGTGTTTTTTCTCACAACAAATCAGCCGGAACAGTGTTTCGGTTTATTTTTTTAGCGAAGCGAACGGGTGCAATCGCTGCTCGGATGTGACGAGCGGATGCCGGGACGTTCTTGTCGAAGAGGTACCCGGTGATGTTGACTGTGAGACCCAGCCCATTGGGCCAGTTGGGCTGGACCAAATTCATGACACTGTAGCGATAAGGTACTAGTATTTCTAGTTTAGTTCCATACCAGAAACGGAACGAACACCAGACCAGCTTAAAAGTCTAGACCTAGGAGGCTATTAACTTCGGATCGATCCTTTTGCACGAAGCGAGGACGAAAGCACAAAAGAGTTAATCAGTAGCTATGACTTGTTCCACGTGTAAAGTGGGCCTTAACCATCTTCCCGAGTCAGGACGTTGCCACGTAGTACACCCGGGTGCGCCCAGCAGGGTTGTCCACGCGAAGACCTATCTTGCTTGCTTCTTTTTATCTTCGTGTATGTATATGGAAGCAATGGATGCGGATAAGCTGAGTTCCATCACCTACGGCCTACCTGTTTATTTATATATATGATTAGTTGAGTACCACAGTTGGCAGTGAATAAGCTCTGCAGACTTACCTTTGTGTTCTACTAGTCAACAGAGTGCATTTTTTATCTGTTTTTTTTCTACACCGTCCACCTGTAGTTTTAATTTCACTGCACAAGAAATGCTAATCACTGCCGGTGTTGTACTACTACTGTCGATTGAAACCACAGATCGGTAACGCAAACTTGTCACCATCCGTGGTGACGCTCGCAGCTGCCCGCGCAGCCTGGTCGTCACTGCAGCTGTCCCTACACGTAGCGAGCTCGCTGGCGTCAGAGGACGGTCCTCCTGCTCAGCGCGCTCATGCCCCTGCTTAGCCAGCTGCCCCCCCACACAACCCCCCCTTCGCATGCCTGCCTATCGCCCGCTCTTTCTCTGCTGCTTCGCCGCCGCCTAGGCCCCTCGCCCACCGGTACCATCATGGGCGACCTGACTATTCCGCTTAAGATGGATACGACAACGATAAACTCCAGATGTTTCATGTATTTGTTTCATTTGTTCGTTTCTCTTGTAGCGGATTTTGTTCACTTTTCTAGGATTTCTATTCTGATTTTTGCTTGCCCCTCTCTATAGGATTTGTCATGCTACAATGGATGCTTTGAGATGTTAAGGTGGGAATTGGTGTTGCTATGGGGGTATCCTCCCTCGCCGTCTGACTTCATGAAGGCAATGGTTTCATGTTGTAGCAAAATGAATTTGATGTTTCATTAGCCTTGTTTTGATGTTGCAACAAGTAATATTTCTTTGTTGCATTAGTCCTTTTTTTGTTCTGATGTTGCATCTCGCATTGCAGTATCCTTGTTCTAATGTTGTAGTACCCTTGTTCTGATGTTGTAGTAGCCTTGTCCAGATGTTGTTCCTTTTTTGTTCTAATGTTGCAGTAGCCTTGCTCTAATGTTGCAATAAGTAATACTTCTGATGTTGCATCGCATTGCTTCGTGTTGCAACAGACCGTCCGATGAAAAATTTCCCATCGAACGTTCAGGTGATGGAGTGCGGTGGGGATGGGCGCGGGGGGCAACAGGGCACGCGGGGGATGGTGGGGCGACGGAGGATGAGTCGCCGTGAGTGGCGTAGCGGGCGCTCCTGTTCTGTTACGTGGGCAGGGATAGCCGGATTGGTGCACTAGTTTCTCTGTTGAATCGTTACACAGGCAGGGATAGCAGATGAATTGAGTGGCTCCTATTCCTCCAATCAGATGGCCCTGAGCTGCGTCCAGACGCATCCTGTTGCCAGACGTTCGGACGCTAGTCGTCCCGTTTTTATTTCATGTGCACATAAAATTGTATTTCACACTTGCACAACTAACATTTCAAGAGTCACACATACATTTATTGATTGACCTACGTACCTAATAATGCAAGTGAAAATGTGGTAGATTGGATATAATGCCTGTGATATGTTGCATTGAGCCTCACGGGTGGTTTATGCAGAGGATCGTAGATTTAGCGGCACTGTAAGCCACCCACGCTTCCTGAATATATATGGTAACACCAGATTACAATAATAATCCTAACTATCAATTTGTATTGTAGCATTAGAACATCTCCCAGAGTTCCCAATAAGCCCCCCCCCCAATCCAGGATTTTGGCAAGAATGAAAAAAATACTTTCCAACCCCACCTCCCCAATCTGTTAGCACTTTTAAAAAATCACCGAACGTGCGGATATATCCGCGGACCACCTGACGCATGGGGAAAGAATAAAGAGTAGTAAAAGGTTCTTGATGCAAATGTACAAGAGAGAAAGAATATATAAACAGAAATGCTATACAACACACATGTGTTTTAGCATAAAACAACACATGGATTTTCTCTCTCTCTCCCTCTCTCTTTTCAACTGTGGGCAGCCGTGGTCCGTTAGTCTGCTGCGTCGCTTCTGCTGTGGTCGCGTCGTGGTCCGTCAGTCTGCTGCGTCGCGTCTGCTGCGGTTGTGGCCCCTCGCTCCGATCAGACCTGGACGCGGTTTGTCCTCTTGTCCTTGCATAGAAAAAAAATATTTCTTGTGATATGTGGATCTGTTGTCGATGTGGGACCCACGGGATACCCCGCAAGGAAGAGAGAAGATCTAGTCTAACTAGGATTCTTTCCATGTAATCTTAGTAGCAGTATTATTCTGTAATCCTACTAGGAACTCTCATTGTAAACCGACTAGGACTCTGGCCTCCTGACTATATAAAGGAGGGCGGGGTTCCTGGAGAGGACAATTGACAATCAATCCAACGCAAAGGCTAACGCCGACTGGACGTAGGGCTATTACTCAATCACGATCGAGGGTCTGAACCAGGATAAATCGACTGTCTCTTGCATTTATCATCGAGTTCTGCATACGCTGAAACCTGAACAAACTGCCCTGGGTACCCCCGTGGTAGACTATCGATGGTGAAACATCGACAGCTGGCGCACCAGGTAGGGGCTTTCGGCGAATTTGCATCCGAGAGCTTGACGGACCTCGACAACATGATCTTCTCGACGGGATCAACCTTCATCTTCGGTTCATGGATCTACGAGGCAGGCGACGATGGCAAGCTCCAAAGCCGTCTCCTCGAAGATTCGGATCACCATGAAGACCTATCTATTTCGGTGACTACGACAGATCAACTTGTCGGAAGATTCACGCAGCTCGTGGTGTCCGATCCAACTTAGATTTCGTGGCTTTGCGCATCCGATTCAAACTCGGGCTCCGCATCCAAGATGGAGTCTTACCCGAGTTCTTTCGAGAAACCAAGTTCTTTTCTAGCGGGGCTCCAGAACGCGGCATCAACCTATCAAGAATTCAACTCGGAAAGCATTCAGAGTTCTTTCGAGAATAGTCCAAGTTCTTTTCTGGC